GTCAGGGCCGCTTTTGGAAATACTGCATTCGATCCCGGTCTCCCCCGCGACGGGAAGGACATCAGGAAACTCGAAAGGGGGTTCAGAAAAGGATGTCGGAGGGTTCAAGAGACAGGGAGAGGCTGGGGGGGTGGGCGTGCGCTGTTCCCCCCCCTCCCCCAGATGGGGGTGACCTTATGGAGGTTTATAAAATCATGAGGGGGGCATGGATAGGGTGAATAGCCTTTCCCCAGGGTAGGGGGGCGTCCGAAACTAGAGGGGCATAGGTTTAAGGTGAGGAGGGTAAAGGGACCCGAGGGGGGTAACGTTTTTCACGCAGAGGGTGGTGCGAGTGTGGAACGAGGAAGTGGGTGGGGGGGGCGCTGGGTACAGTTACAAACATTTAAAAGGCATCGGGATGGGGACATGGATAGGAAAAGGAATTTCCGAACTCCAGTGAATATAATCCTAACCGACCCCATCTCTCCGCTGCCAATCCCAGGATTCCGAGGGGCAGTTAGCTGTCCCACCCACACGAGAGAGCGACGTACTGATAAAACAACCGCGGATGTGGGCAAATTTCCATTTAGAAATACCCCTGTTATCAGCAAGAGACATTTGGGGACCATTATCTCGAACCCAAAGCAGCCCTCCCTGTGTAGAAGCTGGAGGGGGGGGAGAGAGAGAGACAGAGAGAGAGAAGGGAAAGTGAAAAACAGAGAGTAAGAGCTTCCTGGAAATAGCGCCCTCCAGCTGAAGGGAAAAATCCCTTCCGGCCCCTCATTGCTTTGCCCCGGATGAGCTCTTCCCAAGAGGCGGATGAGAACCGAGCGCAATCGCAGGATTGGGAGTCCACTCGCGCCGGCTACCCGTGCTAACCCCCGGCGGCCTTCTGGCTCCCTCCCCTGTATCCCCACGCCACCCAAATACTATCCAGCTCCCCACCAGAGCCCCCTCTCCTGTCAAACTGGCTCTGCCACATTCCCAGAAAGTACGTTCCACACTGGAATTATTTACTGGATGAAACAGCCCTCAAATCCACCTCTCTCTCCCCCTCTCTGTCCCCGTCCGTGCTCCTCATCATCCGAAGCACATCTCTCAGGAATCACCACCCCGTCAAACCTTCTTGATCTCCGCTACAGAGAAAACAACCAGAGGTTATCCAGTCTCTATCTCTCTCTCCATCGCTGAAATGCTCCGTCCCAGGGTAACAACCTGGAGACTCTCTCTCTGCACCCAACTCCAGCGCGATCCCGTCCCTCCGATAGTGAGGAGACAGGAACCAAACTCAGACCTTCAGCTGTAACCTCACCAAAGTCCTGTGCAGCTCCGACATTGCCTCCCCAACTGTTAAAATCTGCACCTTGACAGCGATCTGTGCAAACACCTTCAGACACCAGCCCCCTACCATACGCTTTCTGTACCTCTGAGCTTCCCAGTGTCCCTCTGTTCTTGTCAGAGACATTGTGAAGGAGTGGATTGGAGTAAACATGGATTGTGTGTGTGTGTGTGTGTGTGTGTGTGTACATACGAGTGTGTGTACGAGTGTGTGTGTGAAAGAGTGGGCAAGAG